TCCAACTCTCACATCAATACATGACTACTGGAAAAACCATAGCTTTGATAAATGGACCTTTGTTAGCAAAGTAATGTCTCTGCTTTATAATAAGCCATCTAGGTTGGTCATAACTTTTCTTCCAAGGAGCAAGTGTCTTTTAATTTCATGGCTGCAGTCACCATCTGCAGTGATTTTGGAGCCCAAAAAATAAAGTCTCTCACTGTTTCCACTGTTTCCCCATCTATTTGCCATAAAGTGATGGTACCAGATGCCATGATCTTAGTTTTCTGAATGTTGAGCTTTAAGTCACTTTTTCACTCTTCTCTTTCACTTTCATCAACTTTAGTTCTTCACTTTCTTCCATAAGTGTGGTGTCATCTGCATATCTGAGGTTACTGATATTCTCCCAGCAATCTGGATTCCAGCTTGTGCTTCCTCCAGTCCAGCATTTCTCATGATGTACTCTGCATATACATTAAATAAGCAGGGTGACAAAATACAGCCTTGACGTACTCCTTTCCCAGTTTGGAATCAGTCTGTTCCATTCTATGTCCAGTTCTAACTATTGCTTCCTGACCTACATACAGATTTCTTAGGAGGCAGGTCAGGTGGTCTGGTATTCCCATCTCTTTAAGTATTTTCCACAGTTTGTTGTGATCCACATAGTCATAGGCTTTGGCATAATCAATAAAGCAGAAATAGACATTTTTCTGGAACTCTCTTGCTTTTTTGATGATCCAACAGATGTTGGCAATTTGATCTCTGGTTCCTCTGCCTTTTCTAAATCCAGCTTGAACATCTGGAATTTCACAGTTCACATATTGTTGAAGCCTGTCTTGGAGAATTTTGAGCATTACTTTACTAGTGTGTGAGATGAATGCAATTGTGCTGTAGTTTGAGCATTCTTTGGCATTGCCTTTCTTTGGGATTGGAATGAAAACTGACCTTTTCCGGTCCTGTGGCCACTGCTGAGTTTTCCAAATTTGCTGGCATATTGAGTGCAGCACTTTCACAGCATAATCTTTTAGGATTTGAAATAGCTCAACTGGAATGCCATCACCTCCACTAGCTTTGTTCATAATGATGCTTCCTAAGGCCCACTTGACTTCACTTTCCAGGATGTCTGGCTCGAGGTGAGTGATCACAGCATTGTGATTATATGGGTCATGAAGATCTTTTTTGATTAGTTCTTCTGTGTATTCTTGCTACCTCTTCTTAATATCTTCTTCTTCTGTTAGGCCCATACCATTTCTGTCCTTTATTATGCCCATCTTTGCATGAAACCTTCCCTTGGTATCTCTAATTTTCTTGAAGTTTCTTGAAGAGATCTCTAGTCTTTCCCATTCTATTGTTTTCCTCTATTTCTTTGCACTGATCACTGAGGAAGGCTTTCTTATCTCTCCTTGCTATTCGTTGGAACTCTGCATTGAAATGGTAATATCTTTCCTTTTCTCCTTTGCCTTTCACTTCTCTTCTTTTCTCAGCTGTTTGTAAGTCCACCTCAGACAGCCATTTTGCCTTTATGCATTTCTTTTTCTTGGGGATGGTCTTGATCACTGCCTCCTGTACAATGTCATGAACCTCTGTCCATAGTTCTTCAGGCACTATGTCTATCAGGTCTAATCCCTTGAATCTATTTATCACTTCTACTGAAAGTTGTAAAGGATTTGCTTTAGGTCATACCTGAATGATCTAATGGTTTTCCCTACTTTCTTCAACTTAAGTCTGAATTTGGCAATAAGGAGTTCATGATCTGAGCCACAGTCAGCTCCTGGTCTTGTTTTTGCTGACTGTATAGAGCTTCCCCATCTTTGGCTACAGAGAATATAATCAATCTGATTTTGGTATTGACAATCTGGTGATGTCCATGTGTAGAGTCTTCTCTTGTGTTGTTGGAAGAGGATGTTTGCTATGACCAGTGAGTTCTCTTGGCAGAACTCTATTAGCCTTTGCCCTGCTTCATTCTGTACTCCAAGGCCAAATTTGCCCATTACTCCAGGTGTTTCTTGACTTCTTACTTTTGCATTCCAGTCCCCTATAATTAAATGGAGATCTTTTGGGGGTGTTAGGTCTAGAAGGCCTTGTATGTCTTCATAGAACCGTTCAGCTTCTTCTGCATTATTGGTTGGGGCATAGACTTGGGTCACTGTGATATTGAATGGTTTGCCTTAGAAACAAACAGAGGTCATTCTGTCGTTTTTGAGATTGCACCCAAGTACTGCATTTTGGACTCTTGTGTTGGCTATGATGGCTACTCCATTTCTTCTGAGGGATTCTTGCCCACAGTAGTAGATATAATGGTCATCTGAGTTAAATTCACTCATTCCAGTCCATCTTAGTTCTCTGATTCCTAAAATGTTGATGTTTACTCTTGCCATCTCCTGTTTGACCATTTCCAATTTACCTTGATCATGAACCTAACATTCTAGGTTCCTGTGCAATATTGCTCTCTACAGCATCAGACTTTACTTCCATCACCAGTCACATCCACAACTGGGTCTTGTTTTTGCTTTGGCTCCATCTCTTCATTCTTTCTGGAGTTATTTCTCCACTGATCTCCAGTAGCAATTGTGCACCTACCGACCTGGAGAGTTACTCTTTCAGTGTCCTATCTTTTTGCCTTTTCATACTGTTCATGGGGTTCTCAAGGCAAGAATACTGAAGTGGTTTGCCATTCCCTTCTCCAGTGGACCGCATTTTGTCAGAACTCTCCACCATGACCCGTCCGTCTTGGGTGACCCTACATGGCAAGGCTCATAGTTTCATTGAGTTAGACAAGGCTGTGTTCCATGTGATCAGATTGGCTGTAGTTCTCCTCACAGCTGTTCCAGCATTGCGCGGCCACCGCTGCACGTTATGCTTGACCTGCGGCTGCAGCGTGGGGACAGCACCTCAGAGAGCCTGATTAGTGACCAATTTACCCCCTGGTGGAATCTACACTGCCTGCCGTACAACTTGCATCCTTCTGTAATTTTCAAGAAGACTAGAAGATTCAAAAAAAAAAAAAAGTTGAAAAAGCCCTTTATTACCACTTTTGGAAAAAGTATATCAAAAAGAAGTATTTGGGGACCTCCTTGGCTGTCCAGTAGCCGTCTGGTGGTTAAGACTCTGCCTTCCAATGGAGGGGGTGCAGGTTCAACCCCTGGTCTGGGAACTAAGATCCCACATGGCTCAGGGCCAAAAAATCAAGACTTAAAACAGAAGCAATGTTGGAACAAATTCAATAAAGACTTTAAAAATGATTCACATCAAAAAAATTTTTTAGAAAAAAGAGAAGTATTTCAGCCATGCCTACCTAGTGCTAATTTCTACTAGTCATCATAACTTACTTTCATTTAAGAAAAAACAAATGCGATGCTTATAAAATTATGAGATTAGAAGATATTTTTTTAAAAAAAGTAAAAATAAGAATTATCCCTATTTCTACTCCTCAAAGAGAACCAGTGTTAAAAATGGGGGGGGGGGGTTGCGTGGGGTGTAAGATTCTAAATATTTTTCCTTTCTGAAAATGTACTTTTCATTTTTTACCAAAATGCATTTACTGTAGGTAGTTTTTTATTTAAGCTGTTTTTTCACCTAACAATGAATTGTGAGCATGTTCTATATCAGTAAACATTTTTCTACTGCTGTGTAAATAATATGAAGTTTTTCATGGCGTGAACATGTCGTAATTTACGTAAATGACCCCCTTTTGTTGCGTTAGGTTGAATCCAGTTCACTTTATAAGCAGCAAGCAGTGAACATTCTCAAAGCTTCTTGGGCATATTTATCATTATTTCCTTAAGACAAATTCATAGATACTCAACGCTTAGAAAGCCTTGATGAAAGTGGACATGACTCAGTCATGTCCGAGTCTTTGCAACCCCACGGACTACATAGTCCATGGAATTTTCCAGGCCAGAATACTGGAGTAGGTAGCCTTTCCCTTCTCCAAGGGATTGGCCCAACCCAGGTCTCTCTCATTGCAGGTGGATTCTTTACCAGCTGAGTCACAAGGGAATAGATGCTGCCAATTTGACCCTAGAATGACAGAAATTTTACATTGCACCAGCAGTGTGGTATAAAGCCATGTTTTCCTACAATCTCACCAACACTGGGACCTGATGCTATCATCTGAAAATGGTAGCTAGAATATGTCTCTGTTGATTTAATTTGCATTCCTTCAGTTGCTGGTGGAACCCGTGGTTATTTATGGGCCATTTATGGTTCTTTGTGAATTGCCAGCACAAGCACTTTGTCCGTTTGTGAAAACTGGGCTGTTAATTTCTTTTTCTGTTTCATAGGATCTTTCTATGTTGTAAGAATATGACCATTAATCTGTATATATGGTCCAAATAGGTTTCCATTGGTTTTAATATTTTTTACTGATGCAAAAAATAAAATGATTACATTTTGTCTACCACATTCATTCCATGGGAGAGTCCCAGGCCCGTGGGGTGGAGCCACCCCTGGTGGGCTGGAGGGTACACTGATGCCAGGCGCTAGCAGGGTGCACGCTTGCCAGCCCAGGCACCGCCCCCGCCCCCACTCACTGAGTTCTCATTATTATTACCTGCATCTGATGATGAGGGAAATGGAGGTTCCAAGGGCTTCAGGACTTGATCTAGGTCACTCAGAATGGCGTCAAGACCTAAACCCAAGCAGTCTGTTTCATGGGCCAGAATCTGCCTGCAAAGTGTTGCTAGTAGTGACAGATGATAGAGCAAGCATCCGGTGCTGTGAACTCCAGGCTCTAGCCAGCTGTTCCTGTAGGAACCAGTATCCATTAGGAATGCTTGACAGGTGGAACAGAAGCTCCAGCTACAGCGGATTGAACAAATAGAGCTTTTCATCCAGAGATGTTTAATTACTGCTGCGTGTGATGTGCCAGTGGTGAATTGTGTGTGACAGCGTCTGTTGGACCTCAAAGCATCTCTAAGAGTATCTATGACTACGTGTTTTTATAGGTATTTGCACTGCTGCTTGACAGAGAAGGCAGCCACTAAGTGCATTGTCAGAGGCCTTGTTGACAGTGGAAGATGCTTCAGGGCACAGTTGATGCTGTGCCCTCGTTTCCAAGGCTCCTGCTCTTGGTACCTGTTCCAGTGGGCCTGCAGCACGTGGCGCTGGAAATGATGGAAGCAGCTACACAGGGTTTAAAAGCATCACAACCCAGCTCTGCCCACCCTAAGGTGCGTGTGCCTCCAGCTCAGCAGCGCTGCTCAGGGGCGAATGCCTGAAAACCCTGGTGGGACCAGAGCCCTCATCATAAGGGGCTTGGCCTCTCGGTGGCTTCAGCCTCCCACCAAGTGAAAGCGCCAGGCGACACCTTCCCTGGTTCACCGTTGGCATCCGGGGGGTGAGGGGGCAGGCCTAGGAGGGTTAGGCTGAGAGAAAGCCCAGCCTCCGACCCTCCCACTGAGCAGCCAGCTGAGGTTGGGAGGGGGCAGCTTCTCTTTCCAAGCTGAGACTCCCCACGAGCTAAATCTGGAAAATGTCAGGAAACTTCAAAAAAGCACAAATTATGTTCTTTTGAAAAGCTATTTCACATGATTCTACAATGCAAGGAATGAACCTAGGTGGATCCTGGATGGGGCAGGAGGGAGCTGCCACCCAGCATAGGACCTGATAATGAAATAATGACTGTTATTGAATAATAGTACCGAATCACATTCAGCTCTTCCAGAACTTGATCTTTAGACCCTAATTATGGAAGGGTGCTCCTTGTTCCTAGGGGACACATGTGACCTCTAGAAGAATAAAGTGCCATGACCCTGCCGTGTATCCCCAGGGGTCGAGGGAGGCTTCCTAGGACGGTGCTGACAGAGTATGATGTTAACAGGTGAGGATCTGGGTGAGGGGCTTTGTGGCGGGGGACAAGGGAGGTGGGCATCATTCTTCTGTTCTTGAAACTTCTCTGCAGGTTTGAATTTTTTGCAAATTAAACATTTTTTAAGGCATTATTTAATGGGTGTTATTGCCATGGGTGCTAAGGAATTGTTGAGAACTCAGCCCAGATTCCTCAGTCCTTCATGAATTTGCCCCAGTGACCTGTGGTAACAGGCGACCTGTCAGGCCACCCAGACCCCCTTGATGGGGACATGTCCCAGCTCCAGGCTCCACAGTCAGCCCTCAGGGTCGGCCACACCCACGGTCAGGCCTCTTCCCAGCAACCCAGGCTCCATGACCCACCGACACTGCCGCGTAAAGGCCTGGCCATGTCAAGCCAGCTGGGGGCAGGTCTGGGGGACCTCCTCAGCTCCATAGTTCTGGGGGGGGGCACCTGAGCTGCCCCCTCCTCCCACAGTGCTGATGCAAGCCCTCCTTCAACAGACACCCATGCATCAGTTCCTTCCAGGGCTGGCTTCCTGGGGGTCCAACCTGCCACAGGCCCCCCAACCACATCCCCCCACCTCCGCTCACACTCCTACATCCATCCTCCACCGTCACATCTGTCCTGCCCCACGAACATCACACACCACGAACATTTCCTCCTTTAAAGCAGGTTGATCTGAAATATTTCCAACACACACACACGGAACAGGGTGATGACAACCTGACGCCCCATACAGCTGTATCAGATCTCAGCCGAAGGGCACATTTGCTCACCTCTCCGTGTTTCTTAAGGAATGAAGCCTCACCGATTCAGCTGAGGCCTCCCACTTACCTGCTCCAGGCCCTTCCCTCACACCTCTCCTGAGGGTCTCCCATCATCAGTTTGGTGTTTCTCCTTCATGTGTATGTTCTCACATTTTTAACAGCTTTCTTTACCCGTAAACAATATCCGGTGTTGTGTTTTAGGTCATTCAGATCGCATCATTCCATGACTTGCTTTTTCAGCCCCAGATTGTTTGTGAAATGCCTCCAAGTCGATGTCCGTGGTCTGGCCCATTCGATCTGCTACTATACACCCCATGGATTTCAGCCCGGCTCCTGTGGGTGGACATCTATGTCGTCCTCTGGACAAGCAGTGCTGCAAGCACTGTCCCCACCCACGGCTGCGTGAGCACCCGAGACAATGGCCCACAGGTATAGTTGCCCATCGGGGAGGTTATTCTGGGGGGAGGAGGAGCGTTTAACAGGAGCCACCATCTGAATCCCAGACAAAGCTCCTGGCTCAGAGTTCGGGCCCCGTGAGACAGACCCCCCACCCCCACCCTGCACTCCATCCCTGCCGCCTGCTCCTAATGTAGCAGTCAGGTTTTGCTGCAGTAATGCTGTGTAATAAACAGTCCCAAGCTCCAGGCATAACAGGCATTTGTTCCTTGCTCATGCATCAGCAGGTTCAGCTCTGTTCTGGCCCTGGCTGGGTTTCCATTCACCTTGTGGGTCTTTTATTCCTGAAGGGCCAATGGCTTTCTGGGAGATGCCTTCCTCAAGGCCAGAATTGGAGCACAAGAGGCCAAGTCAAACCACAAAAGCAGATGAAAAGACTGGTCACACGCGGCATGTGTTTCGTCCACTTATGGTCCACGGGCCAAAGCACGTCACAAGGCTAAAGCCCTGAGTCAGCGCCAGGAGCCGACCCCACCCACAGCGATGTGTCCGTGAGAGCAGGAGGGCTGCGAGAACCGTGTGCAGGTCAAGCCGCCCACTACAGGTATGAACTTCCCTTGCCACCTGAGACACCATAGGTCAACTGTAGTTCAGTTTAAAAAAAGAAAGTGATTCTTAGGATTTTTCCAGAGAAACATGACCAAAGCAGACAAAGCCCCTGGCTCAGAGTTTGGGTCCCGTGAAACAGCATTGTGTATAAGTGTACATATAAAATGTAAATATATGTTTATAAAATGTGCATAATGAAGAAGTGGCCCATGCAGTGAGCAGTGATGGAGGCTCAGTGGTCCCTTGAGCTCCCGGCTAGAAGCTGGAGCCCGTGGAAAGCAGGTGGTATAATTCAGTCCAAGTCCAAAGGTCTAAGAACCCAGGGAGCTGATGGTGAAGATCCAGACGTGAAGGCAGGTGATGAGATGAGAGTCCCAGCTCAAGCAGGAGGCAAGGAAAAGGCGGGCAGCTTCCTCCTTCCTCTGCCTTTTGTTCTACTCAAGCCATCGGGTTAGATGAGACACACACCACCCACCGCCCACCCTGGGGAGGGCATCTGCTCTACTGAGTCTACAAGTTCAAGTGCTGATCAGCCAGAAGCACTGTCACCATCACAGATACGCCCACAGTAACAGTGCCTCTGGGCCCCACGGCCAGTCAACTTGACACAGAGAATTAACCATCACATATTGCTCTGCCTAAGTCTGGAAAAATGGAGGTATTTGCTAAAGATTTGAGTGGACTTGCTCTTACATGGAAAGTGGGACATGGGCTATCAATTCCATTTTTAAATATCAAGAGACCACAGGCCCCAATGCACACAGCCTATGACAGGTGTGTGATGGCTCATATGAGAAGATGTTCAGCTTATTAACAAGTAAGAGTGTGGGTCAGCAACACATACTCTGTGGTTTGTTTAATTAAACAGTAAGAAGATGGTATAGAAATCAATACTCAATTCCATTCTCAATGCCAGAGACACCCAGCTTCTGTGCAGGTCATCGGAGCCCTGCGTTAACATGTTCCCACATAACGAGGCAAGTGGCCATCCCTCAGCACGTCCTGGCCTGTTCATTTCATTCTGGCTGGGAAAGCTGGCCCATTAGCTGCATTATTCAGGGTTAGGAATCAATAACACACCGATTATTGATAGACACGCACTGCTAGCAGATGGAAAAAAATTACACGAGGGCTTTACGAGAGTGATTGCTCTGTTCTTTAGAGCGATGGCCATACAATTTCAGCTTTCAATTCCCTGTAACATACTCACCCAGATTTATGGGGCTTTTGTAATGTCTAATTGGGATTGGTGACATGACCCTCGTTTTCACTTTGTGGAATGTTTTAAGCATCCATCAAATCTCGATGAAAACGAAAGAAGCAAAAGAATCACATCCAATCTTAGAAATTACAGGGAAGGGACCTCGAGGTAATTGAAGGCCTACATTAGAGAGAGACTCTGTAGACACTGTTTCCTTTAGTCTTCACATACTGTTCTCCACATACTGGTGGAATTGGGGCTGAGAAAGGGAAACTAACTTGACCAGTGTCGCTCAGCTCAGCAGCGGGGAACTGAGGTTCTAAAGGACAGCTGATCAGGAAGCCTATTCCCCTTCCACTGGGCTCTATCTGGGGTTCTCTCAAAGTCCCAATATTTTAGTGATGTCCCAAAGGTGCTCATAGCATAAGGAGGACAGTGATAATGGGGGGTGGGAGTCAGTAATCATAACAGTACTAGTGTGATTAGCAAGTCAAGAACAACTTCCTTTCCAGTGGGACTATCCCCTCCCTGCATTTGGACCTAATATCTTTTTTAATATAACCATTGGGTTGCATTTACGCTGTGGCCACCACACCATTGCTGGTCTGGAGGTCCTTAAGCCTCCTGGGAATTCATATGACCCTCTCTAAAGTTAGGTCTGCTTTGTCCTATACTTGTGGGGTTGGAGGTATTTAAGATGAATTCTTGGCATTCACCCTTGTTTGATTTATCTAACTGTTCTAGCATCCAACCTTTTAAGATTTTTCAAATCTTTTTAAATTTTTTTTATTTGTTTATTTAGCTGCACTAGGTCTTAATTGCGGCATGCTCGATCTTTAGTTGCGGTATGTGGGACCTAGTTGCCTGATCGGGTTTGATTAGCCACTGGACCACCAGGTAAGTCCCCATTGATTTTTAAGTCAGAAGAAACTATGAAGACCAGTCTGTCCCTTGGTGGAGGGGTGGCAGTCCAGGTTCCTGGGTCCCCATCCATAACCTATTGCTTCTTTAGTTTCATGGATCATTTCCTTTCTTTGGGCCTGTTTCCCCTTCCATAAAACACAAATGTTAGGTCAGCTCATCAGAAAGGCCCTTCCTGCATGGCAAATAGGACCTCATAGCCCAGAATTACCGTATACGTGCCAACCTGGGCCCTGGTTAAGAGTGAACACAACTTTAATTACACTGGTTTTAACAGAAATTAGCTGACATGAGACACAGCACTCCGTTTTGAAATGGAACCCACCATTTGAGAGGCAGAGTCAGGGATACAGGTCACAACCATCTGCCAAGGCCACTCTGCTCACGGTTAGCTCTGCAGCTTCAGCCTCTATTTCTTACTCCCTTTGAGGAAACTGAGGGAATCTTTCAGACTCAGAAAGAATCACCACCCAACAGAGGAAATGTTCCAAGGAGGGGTTCTTCATGCCACTTCACCCACCAGGCTTTCAAACGCTGGCATTATAGACCCAATCATAAAAATAGTGCCTTTCTGGAAATCTCTGCATTAATTACCATCATTGGAGAGACATTATCTATATTTACATAATAGCTTCCCAGGTTTTGCTGGTTCTGAGTCAAGCTAACAAATTTGTAGCTATTAAAGAACACAAATTGCTTTGCTATGTTTTAAATTCCGCAAATGGAAACCTTTGCCTGTGTAGAGAGGTGGCTGGAAACCAGTGCAATTAGCGTCTGATAATTCGTTAATGCTGGAGATGCGTGAAGAAACGGCTCAAAATGTCTACCGTAATGTCTTAAGTGAAAAGAGAACGGCATTTGGAGAGACCATAATCAGGTTAGGCATATTAATATAGCAGCATATTTTTACAAAATGTAAAAGGCTCTTGTCCTGTCTTTAAAAGGAACAGCTAAAGCCCGCATCTTTATTTTTACCACTTAATTGCCCTGTCTTGGATACTAATGACGGACTGATTACAGTTTAAGGTTTAATCACCGAGAGAGGAGAGATGGAGGTGGAAAGGCCGGCGGGATCGGGAGGGAGGGGGCGAGGGTAGAAAGACACCTGGCTGGGAACGCAGGTGGGGAAGGAAGGCGGGTCATCAGGCCCCAGGCCTCACGCCACAAGGCCACTGCTCCTGCAGGCTCCCGGTCGGTCGCGTTTACCAAAACGTGGTGAGAACTTGGGCAGGCCTGGTGCAGAGAGGCTGGTGGGTGACGGATGACAGTTCACCGTTTTCTGCCCAGAACCCTAGAAGAAGACCTCCGAAAATAGCAGCTCTCATTCCTCTTGGGTGTGGTTTCACACCTGAGCGTTCACCAGCACGTGCAGACTTGTTAAATCATATCTAATGCAGAGAACCTGGAGGCGGCTGGGAGTTCCTGGTAGGTCCTGGTCGATACCGCTGCTCCAGGTCACACTGGGAGGCCCAGGGATGTGGGGGGATTCCTTCCCTGTGACCCAACATGGGCTTTCCCGTGGACTGTTCTCCGGTCTCAATAGAAGAAGAAAACCCCGCCCTCCCCACCCCCACCCCATTTCGTGGAAATATGTGAGTCTGGGAACTGGGCACAGCTGAGGGGCAGAGCAGAGAAAGAAACCAGGCAGGGCAGAGGGGCGGACAGGGAGGTGACGGCTTCCTGGTTCCAGTCCCCTAGGCCCGTCGTTTTCCAAGGTTCGACGTCAGCCAGTGAGCTGCCCTTTCCCTTAAGCAGTTCCTGTTGGATTTCCCTCACTGTCACCAGAAAGTTCTGATCATTACAGGAGTGCAAACTAAAATGCCAACCTGTGAATGTACAAGCATCTCACTGATATGATAGTCCGTGCAGCGTGGCCTCTTTCTGTGAGAGGGGACCAGACAGATGTCGGAAGAGCAGGAGTTTGGGGTAGAGTTGCCAGATAAAAGTCAGGATGGACAGCTAAATTAGAATGTCAGATGACCAATGACTTTTTCAGATACATATGCCACAAATAGGGTTTCCTTGGTGGCTCAGTGGTAAAGAATCTTCCTGCCAATGCAGGACATGCAGGTTTGATCCCTGGGTCAGGAAGATCCCCTGGAGAAAGAAATGGCAACCCGCTCCAGTATTCTTGCCTGGGAAATCCCTTGGACAGAGGAGACTGGTGGGCTACAGTCCATGGGGTCACAAAGAGTTAGACATGACTTAGTGACTAAACAACATCAACAAATATCACAAATATTGCATGAGATATACTTACCCTGTAAAATCATTCTTTGTCTATCTGAAATTCAGATGCACC